CCAAACAAACAAAATGAAGCGACAGAGAGAGAGAGAGAGTGAGTGTGAGAGTGAGAGAAAAAGTGATTTTGAAAAACCACTCCCACGGTCGGAAAATGAGCGAAAAAATGAGTGAAAAAATGCCACCTATAGAAAATTTCTGCTGCGCAACAGATAAGCGAAAAGGAAATAGCAGCAGCCGCAGACGAAAACGAAAACAACACAAACACAGCCACACACACGCGCACAGACACACAAGCACTTGCACACATACATGCAAACAGTAAACAGCGCCTTACAGACCTACATTTTCATCATGGTCAAGCGCGGTGCTGCGCCAATTGGCCGTGATAAATGTTGATAAACAAGTAAAAATACAAACACAAATACAAATAAACAAATACACAAGCACAGCGCCAGAGAGAGAGAGATGGAGAGAAAAGGCGTAGACACTATATTTGCATTCGTGGAATTGGAACTAATTAATGACAAATCGGATTAGAGTCAGTGGCAAAATATGGCTGCCGACGTCACAATGCAGGCATATTATAAATTCTCACCTCAGCCAAAGCTGAGGTAGCCCAATGCAGGTTTACGGGAGCTGTGAACAATCTGTTTGCAGCAGCAGCAGCAGCAGCAGCAGCAGCAACAATGGCCCCAACAAGCCACATGAAGAACCCCAGCGACAAAACCTAAACTCAATTGGGAACAGCAGCAATAACATTTAGCAAAAGTGAGAGAAATATGCAAAAGTTGCCGAACAAATTGGCATCAAGCTCGCCGCGCTTTTTCTCCATCCAGCCATCCGGTCGACCCACACAGCGGCAGCTCAATCTGCGCTCGTTCCTCGCCGTTCTGCTCGCCAACAGCAACAATAAACATCGCTGGCTCCGACAGTAGAATTTAATTAAAAGCTTTTCCATCTGCCCGGCTTGCCCACTGGACACTGAAAATGCCCGCGGCAAAAACAGAAGCAACAAAAAAAAAAAGTAATAATAAACGAAAAATATTAAAAACATGACAAAAACGGTAGAGTCACGCCGAAGATTGAATACTCTTCTAGACATTTGTGAAGAGAATCGTAAAGAGTTTGGCTAAGAAATCAGACAAAAACTCTTATTTCGAGCGAAACTGCTGAAAACTGGTAATCTCCGAGTTTGGTCAAGATATCTTGAAGAACAAGAAAGTTTGTCATACAAGACCTTACTTTATGACCTATGTTCCTCTGCCATATGGATAAAGTAGTCCGATCTGGCCGATCGCGATAGATATAACGCCTGCACCAGATTTCAATTTTGGGGACTAGCTTGCAACAAAGGTCAAGATCAATATCAAGAATGTAACATATACTTTCTAGTCTCGTAGTTGTCACCTGCTATGCTTTACACACTTCGTGATAAAATAATAAACCCCTTTAGAAGGGTAAAGAAACACAGAGAATACTAAAAGTAAATTGTGAATTTAAATCGACGTATTGGGGCAGATCGACTGAATTGTTGCGGCAACCGTAACCAAAATAGGCTACGGTTGACTCGCTTTAATCATCGATTGATACATCAGCCGCGTCTTTTCGTAGTATTTGATGTATTGTTGGTATTTATTTTTTATTTAAAGTTCTTTAGATTTAAATATAAGCGAATTCTTCGAACTAAGTTAAAGCAGCAGATATTTGCAAATGAAACTAATCTTCGGACTCTGGGCTTAATATTTGAGCATCGTTCAATAAAATATGCCAAAATATGTACTGAAGGTTGGCAACTCTTTGGATCTAATTTGCATGGCAAAGATTTATGAATACGAGTTTTCCTCGTTTTAGAAGGAAAATAATTGAGCAAGGCAAAGGCAGGTTGTTACTGCAAGTGCTTCAATATATTAAATTCCATATTTTAACTACGCTTTAAATTATTTTGAATTTGTAAAAATATTTGGGATTCATTTATTATGATGTTATCTGTTGATAAATGTTACTCGACTTTTGATAGATTTCGCGTCTTCTCTATTATAAACAGTAACCTCAATTGTTGATTCCGCTTTAATTTAATCAATAGATATTGACTAAAGATTTGCATATTCTAATTAAATTCTGTATACATTTGAGCTGCTTCTATAAAAATTAGTTTCATCGAGAAGGGACTCAAGGTTTCTTTCATGTATCGGGTTTGTATACTTGAACAAGTTGTTGGATTTACTGATTTATAGAAGTAGTTACTTACATCAAGTAGCGGCAACAAACTCTTAAGGCTTTCAGCTGCTTACCACAAGGGGATACAGAGAGAGAGATAGAGAGAGTGAGGGAGAGAGAAACCCAGTGAGACACACAGATAGACACACACACACACACACACAGACATCTGAACTCTATCTGCGTGCAAGCTATAAAAACCAGAAGCTCAATTATCAAAATGCTACGTGTGCTTTGTTGTTTGTGTATCAGTTTGTGTATGGCTGTGTGTGTGTGTGTGGTGTGTATGGCGAGTATTCTATAGCCATTCGCATACGCATTTCCATTCTTATTGTCGCTGTCGCTAGCGTCTCTTTTGAGGGCTTTGTCCCTTTAGGTTTTGTATCTGTGGTCGCCTTTGACTGTGCAAATAGATAAATTTATTTATTTTATGAACTGCTGCTGTAAAAGCCGAGAGAAATGGAGGGAAAGCAAAACAGAGAAAGAGCGATATAGAGACATAGAGAGAGCGAGAGAGATGCAGTTGAGCGCCAGCTAAACCGTCAAATTGAAGGTCCGACTACCTTTAAATGCCTTTACTTATGCGCACAATCTACATAAATTGAATGGCATTGAACATTTTTGAAAAGACACTTACACACACACACACACAAATGGAAAGCCTGCCAGTCGGATTGAGACTCGTCGCTAGGAGCAGAGATAACCGGCATAAGCCCCTACTTGAGGTGTGTGCAACGTGTTTGTCTGGGCATTTGTATAAAAATGCAGTCGAGCAACTTTAAATAGGATCGCAAGTAAAATATATTTATGGGCGGAACTTGCTTTGAAATGCCTCGACTATTTGCAGTGCAGCTATAAAATGTAGATTAAAGCAATGGCCCAGGGCACAAGCCACATTTGATTCACTTAGACGATCAAATAATCGATTGGGGACAGTTCAGTTGGCGCCACAAATAAAGGCGTCTGTCTGCGATATGCGAATGGCAAAATAGTTTTTCTATGCCCAACCAAAATGCCAATACATTATAAATTATAGTTGGATTTCAGTTACAGCGGGGCAGCAATTCTCAGGCAGCTAACGCGGCGTATACGCAATCTGCCATACAATGCCAGCAAAAGGGCCATTTGTGTACGTGTGTGTGTGAGGTGGGCGGGTGGTAGGGCGTTGGGGTGGTAGGAGGGGGTGTGCCATAACAGCGGCGACAATAGAGAACAGGAAGCAAATAAACGCTGTAAAAATTCTTGAGCAGCTTACGTGTTACATTATGTATATATCTATAAGTGTGTGTACGTGTGCGTCCGTGTGAGTGTGTGTGTGCGTGTGTGCGTGTGAGGGAGCATTCGTGCGTATGTCTTTATATCAAAAAGTTTTTGCCACTTTCTTAGCGCTGCTCAACTTTTGTTATGCTCGCTTAAACCCAGGCTGCGTCTCTATCCTCGTCTCGCAGCTCAGCTCAGCTATTTTGGTACATTTCTCTGATGATTTCGCCTGACTTTCACTTTCACTTTCACTCTGCTGTGTATCGCTGTGTGTGTGTGTGTGTTTTCTATCAAATATTTTGCACTTTTTGTGGATTTTGTTTGCCTACTTTAAATATAAACCGATCGGCTTTCTATTTATTTACCCTCCCCCATTGTCCGGAATGCGGAAAAAATGGATGCCAGAATGTATTTGTATGCCTGTGTGTGTGTGTTTGAGTGTGTGTGTGTGTGTGTGGCCGTCAGTTTCACACAGATACGCAGCGTGTAGTACACACCAGGCCTGATCATCCTTTGGTTAGGTTGCCTCCTGCCTTTTTTATGTGCTTTGTGTGCTACAAATTGTTTGGCTTTCGAAATTCCTTGCGTTATTGTTGAGGTTTTTATGGACTTGAATGGGCGGCACGATGGCGGGGCGCGGCATTTCGGGACGGGCGGTCCGGTGCGGTGCGGTACGGCTGCAAGTAAACTGAAACTCATAGATGCGCGCCGTAAGATAGACTCGAAAAACTAATTTGTAGCTGGGGCACGAAAGAATATTGTTATTGATAGATGACAATGGTCGACAGCCGTCCAGGATTTATGTTTGACTCTCTGTCTCTCTCTCTCTCTCTCCCTCTCTCCACATCTGGTTTCGGGCAGGGGCTGGCGGAGCTGTGAAACTGTGAAGGTCTTGAGTTCTGAAGCAATGAGATTATTGCAAACAACGAATCACGCAGTCTCACACAGACACTTGGTTGGCAATTGGAAATTAAATTGCTTTTCCATATGACACTTAGGATCAAATTGACATCGTTAAATGTATTTGTATTGGCAGCGATAGCAATTCCTATCTGCAAAATGGAATCCATTCATCTTTGGTGCCCTGTCCAAAACGGCATAACAAAGGACAGCCAATAGAAATTTATGTCTTTTAAAGAAAAATTCTTACTCACTCAAATGATGCAAAAATAATAGTTAAAAATGACCTTACGGGCATGCCATTATGGACAAGCTAATGTTGCGACTGCTCCGGGGTCTATCCGGCATTTAAAGTAGACGGTATAATGGGAGTGTATTAATTTGAGGAACTATTTCACAATATTCTTCGCTAAACAAATTCGATTGCTTTTGGTAGAGAAATTGAAAAATATTTACAAAAAAGCTTATAAGTCCACAGAAAGCAGCCTTTTTTATACTTTTCCCAATTAGTTGCATGTTACTTTAATATATACATTAGAATACCGGATCATATGATACCTTGGGCGTATTATTGGCCCACAAATCGCCCGCAAGAGTGTCGTTTATATTGGTTAAAGTTAAATATTCCTAAGCCCATACACAAAACTGATGAATGTCTCTTTGTTTCGTCTATTTACAGGTGAATGGTGCATGGGCATTGCCTAATGTTGTTTGTGATTTCTATATAGCCATGGATGTGATATGCTCTACTTCATCGATATTTAATTTAGTCGCCATCTCAATAGACAGGTATGAAACGACATTCCGTCGCTGCAGCAACAGCATTGCTGTCATTCCATTCACTTACTACTTGGTATATACTGGATGGAAATTCCATCTATCTTTGCTTCCTGCAGATACATCGCTGTGACGCAGCCAATAAAGTATGCGAAGCACAAAAATAGTCGCCGAGTTTGCCTTACGATACTATTGGTGTGGGCGATATCGGCTGCTATTGGATCGCCGATAGTACTGGGATTGAACAACACGCCCAATCGGGAGCCGGATGTGTGCGCCTTCTACAATGCTGACTTCATACTGTACTCATCGCTAAGCAGCTTCTATATACCATGCATCATCATGGTATTCCTCTACTGGAACATATTCAAGGTGAGCAAACAGCCGCAGCAGCTAATCAAAAACGGATTTGCATTTGAATTTGCATTAGATATTCATGCAGTTGACAATGAATTCAGTTTGCTGATTTAAGCACAATTTCCCATCGGATTTGTTTACACGTACATTAGCTGTTGGCATGCCTTATGAAATGAGGCGGAAGGGCAGGGTGTGCGATGTGCGCAATGGGCTGTGGGCTGTGGGCTGCGGGATGCAGCTTAATACTGCAAGCGCAGCAGGCAAAGCTTTTACTTAACAATTTCCATCTCTTTCTGTTGGCCAGGCGCTGCGCAGCCGTGCTCGGAAACAACGTGCTGCCCGCAAGCCGCATCTGTCGGAGCTGACGGGCGGCAGTGTCATCGAGAATATTGCACAGACACGCCGCCTGGCCGAGACGGCATTGGATAGCAGCCGGCACGCCAGCCGCATCATGCCCGACGAGCCGGCAACGAACACGGCCAGCGGCTCGAACGAGGAGGAGGATGAGAATGCCATATCGCCCGATATCGATGACTGCCACGTCATTGTGAACGATAAGTCGACTGAGTTTATGCTGGCCACAGTCGTCGAGGAAACCGGCAAGTAAGTAACTAAGTGGCCAATACCCCCTTCCCAGCCACCAGCAGGTCACCCAACGCTCCATTGAAATTGTGCTTTCCCTGGCACTTTTCCTGTCACTGCCCGAGCCATAAAATAGAAAGTGTGAAAGGTAACTGGGTAAATGCGTGGAGAAAGGGAGTTGAAATGGGAGTTGGGCTTGGCTTTGGCAACTGCTTAAAAGGAAAAGCTCATAAGCATTAAGGAAAACTAGGTTATTTTCGCGAGCGGGCAAAGCAGAGGAATAAGCTACTGGGGAATATTGAAAGTTGAGAATTTCAATCAATAATAGCGACAATGAACACATAAAACTTGCGCATAGTTACCATAATATTAATTAAGCATCCTATTTAATATCAATATTTAACTCCTCAAAGTAACTTATTTTGCAAATTAATTAAGCGCAGGCAAAAATAGTATCAAGTGTAATGTTCTTATTAAGTCGAAGTTGCACGTAAATTTACATAAAATGGAGAAAATTACATTCAGAATTAATTTAAATATCTACATATTCAAAAACAATACCCATTTGAACAACACACACTACTATTTCATACTAACCAGATTGGCATTTTGTTTATTGATTTTGTTTCTGGACGTGTTTTACATTGCTCGTTGAGGAGGAGAATGTGAGGATACGTAACTGTAATTCCGGTTATTCCCGCCAGCTGCCACCTGGCCAACTGGTTGCTGGTCAATTTTAAGTTTTTAGTTGCCATTGCTGCCACGTGCGGCACGTAAAAGATAAGAGAGTCTTAGTGGCTCATTGGACAGCTGCTGACACAACAAATTGGAGGTCGGCTGGCGCTTTCGCTAACACGGACCCGAAGCACTCCCAAATGCATTTAGTGGCACCTTCCACTTAGTGGCATCCAAAGAAAATTGTCAAAGTATTCGTAATTGCAACTTTTTGGCACTGGTCCCTGCTCTGCTCTGCTCTGCTCTGCTCATCTTCTGTCTGGCAGGCAAAACTCAATTCACAGCTTGTTCATTTAAATTCACACGCGCTGCAATAAAATGAAAATCCAAACTGAGCACTCAGCATCCCATTCGAGCAAACGTGGTAGCCAAGTCTCCGAATAGGTCTGTATCTGTATCTGTATCTGTATCTGTATCTGTATCTGGGATTGGGACTGTTGCAATTGTCGCGCTTAGAGGATTTGGCCTCTTATTGGGGCTCCGCCAAGGGCAGGCGAGTGCAGCTTTTCTAAGCAATTTCATTGCAACTACCGATTGTCTGCCACAGCATTTGCTTTCACATTTACAAAAATTAACTTACCGCACATTGGGAAATCCCAAAATCTATTTGGGGAATTACATACAAATTGCTACATGCCACTTTGTGGCAGTTGCAATTAGTAGCACGAAGCAAACAAATGCAAAGCTTTTGCAGGTGAATCTTCCGCGATCAAAAGGGAAACAAATCATAATACAGGAATATTACATTAAAGGAGAATTATTATTTGTGTTGACGCAACTACCGCGTGTAGGGTAGAGATATTACATGACTGTACTTTAATGATTGGGTTATTCAAGATTTTTCAATCTATGCCCCTCGTTTCGGTAATTTTTGTTTTTATTCCACAATAATCAACAACTGAAAAAACTAAAATATTGGACCTTTCGAAATGTGGCACGATTATTTCGAGTACTGGCGGCCCCAACACTTAACAAATTGGCGAAGTCCGGTAAAACTGGACTTGGCGTGGCCGCGCAAGTGTTTACCTGAGGAGCGTACCTTAGCAGGTTGGGGACTGTCATCCTAGAGGCAATAATGAAACTATATTTAGCTGTGTATATGAATGAAGTGGAGTGTTCGATGAGCACCTCTTCGACTGGCGCTGAGTGCGAGAACCGTGATGACTCGGCTGAGCAAGAGCCTGGCAGATCCTGCAATGATACTTCAGAGTTCATTTGGGAGCTGCTTGAGCTACTCTCAGCATTCATATTGCTGGTACAGTCCAGTCCATGCGATTGCGTCCACTTTATGATATCCTCTGTAATATTGTGAATTTCCACTTTTGACTCTATTATAGCTGCTTTATAATTGGCCAGCAATTCCCGTGAGAAGGTCTCTTTAAGATCTGTTGTGTCCTTTGGGGTGTGATTAGAAACAGTCAGCCAAATTTCAGCAGAGTGAGGCGATCGACTCTATCGATAGTTTTTAATAGGGGTACTGAATACATTGGATGTTATAAATGTATTCAGCATTCAGAATGCCTTTACCCGCATAGAAGGGGTATTCAAAACTATCGACACTATGGTTTAAGCACTTACTAAGAGGTTCTGCACAGTTATTGTCGCTTCTTTCAACAACTCATTCTGACAATTCAGCTCGGGAAGAATGTCATTCATCTTCTTTATAAAGCCCAGTTTCTCAACCAAGCATGCATCTAGTTCTTTCTTCTGTATCTCCATCATTTGCTAAGGGTTCCCATCAATTTGCACACGATCGCATAAGCTTACAATTTGAAGTACTTACATTCGCCATGAGGCTGAACCTGTAATGCTGTTGGAGTAGGTTCATCATATCGGCATTTTCGGCGGCACCCTCCTTAAGTTTCTCCTCGCAGGAGAGTATTTCCTTATTGCGTTCGGACAGTTCCCTTTTCAATTCTTCAATTTGCCTCTTAGCCTTATGTAGATCTTCGGCTTGTCGAGACAGCTGCACAGTATATGTATGTGAGTCTGGGTTGTGTGTAGGAAATGGATTCGCGTACTAACCTTTTCTTCCATACGCTTCAGATCTTTGGCGAAGAAGGTTTCCAGAGGCTTTTCATCCTGAAGGGAAATCGATGAGAATTCATTTCTTTAATAGCAAGAAGCGATATTTGTACCTGCAAGTGTGCCACGTAGCCTTCCAGTTCAGCGATTTTCGCTTGACTCTCCATGACGAACTCCCTTTCCTTGTCCTCGTGCTCGGATATGGCATCTGCAGCATCCTTCAACAGTTGCGTCTTCTCGCCAACCTCTAGGCGCAGTGCATGGATCACAGCTTTGGCGTCTTCCAATTCGTTGGCCAAGGCCTCGTTGGAAGTATTGGCACGTGCGCCATCTTCGTTAACCTGCTCTTTAAAGTGAAGGCGCAGCTTCAGGTTAAAGTTCTCATTGCGCAATCTAATAATTTCCTCATCCAGCTCGCGAGCGGAACGTCCATGTAGCGATTGGGATAGCTTACGATTCGGGGTGTCATCACAACTTTTATTATAGTCTGTTGGTGGAGAGAAGAGCACATAATTAATTATGAACACAATATTCGCTAAGAGCGATACCCGAATGTGATTTAACCATTTGGTGAAGAGCCCCTGGAATCCATTGCTCGATTCTTGCTTTCTGCCTATACCATAAATAAGTATATACAAAATATATATATTTTTAGCAGAACCGATTTAGACAGTATTACAATATAGCATTTCACGTTGGCAGACGAATCCAATTTTAAAAAATTTCTATCGAATAGCGCGCGGCAGCGATCACACAATTAATTAAGTCTTGCTCCAAAAGTTTGTTTAATTTAAAAAATATTACGTCAGAAATATGTTCGTAATGTTTATAAAATAATTTTAAAATGAATTACTCGGCATACTTAGGCAACTAAAATATATTTGCTTAAGGCGATGCTATGTTGATTTATCTATGGCAGCCGAAAAGCGTACTAGACGGAAATTTCCAGAGTCCTGAGACCAAGTTGAACTGGAAGCGCAAAGCTACTGTAGTGTGCCTCATCAATACACCTTGCATAAAACTGAGCTATTGGAAGCTATTGTGGTCCATATGGACATAAAAGCGGAGCCAATTGCTGCGACGAGCTATCTAATCGGAATTTTTGCAGAGTATCCTCCAACGATTCCTTTAGTGCGATCATCCATTCCTGGTTATCTCAGGATTACCGCCAACTTACCCGTTCCGCATAAAGTGACAAACACTGTCTGTTATCAAACTAAACTTATAAAATTTAATATTTTAACGGATCGGAAGGTATAATAGAACTTTTTTATTGGTACAAAAAAAAGTCACAAATCGAGCGCTGCGTTCGACGAGGTTCGAGACAATGCAGTTTTTCTGGGGCTCTTCATTATTTGCCTGGTCCAACCGATCCAGCTTCTCCATAAAGCATAACTAAACACGAAACATCTAAATGGGGCAAAGTCAAAGGCATCCCCTGCAATCGTTTGATTAAGAAAAAACGTAAAGTGCTCGGAGGAGCGCATATACCTATTGACCCACACGTAGAATCTAGATGAGCGGCTGGAGGATTAATCTATGGGCAACAAAATAGGATATTCGTTGTGGCAGCATCCTTATACGCATTCCACCTCTGCAATCGTGATCCTACGGTTGGACTGGTCCTACACGGACTGGCTTCATAAACTTCGCCTTGGGCCTTTGCCGGTTTCTTGCAACTTGCAAGGTTTTGTTTCAAGCGACGGAACACATCAATGACACGTTTCAAATTCCAAATGATGCTAACTTGTATCTCATTGCTTTTTCGAATTTCCCATTTGGCCTTTTTAGCTGGTAAAATATATTTCACTGATGACGCTGAGCTTTCTGACTTGTTACGCGTGTTATGAGAGTCTGACTATAATGAGTTCCAGCCTACAAGCACCGTAGCTCCGGCCTTTGAATTGACAACAAATATATACGCCTACTTATGTGCTTTGGAAACAGTTGCCAAGGGAATGTCTCAAGTTGATTCCGGAGTTTTTGAGTCAGCCTGGACTTATTTTATTAAAAAAACTCGATTGGAATTATTGTAGCTTATAAGACCACTTGTCCTGTGAAAAATATTCAGAGACATATTCATAGAGTTCCCAAAAGTACCACCTATTTATTGGGTTGCGCTTCTCATACTCTTTGCAGATCTTGATAAAAACCTCCCTCACGGAAGAAAGTTTTTCAAATATCTACAACAAGTATAAAACACTATAAATTTATTGCATTATGCACAAAGCATAATCATAACGTGTATTTGGTTGAGTTAACAGACAGGCTCCAAATATATCCTTTTTATCAATTGCATTGGGTTCTGACTGACGACTGGCGAGATTGGCGAAAAAAGTGAAACCCTTGGTAGGTGGGCGAGAGAGATGCCGTTGGATATTGGCCATAACACAGCGCGAACGTTAAGCACAGTCAATTAGCGATGTGATGGGCTCTTTAATCCAATAAGGACATGAAATGAAACCATTATTGATAGGCGCCCGGTTACGCGGACAGGCGGACAGGCGGGCGGTCTGAGTTGGAGGCGGTCAACCCGAGAATCGACGGAACGAGCAAGCCATATTGAAAACTTTTTACCAAAGGGCTGCCATGACCGAACATAATTGGGGAAAAAGAAACCTCCGTCTGTCGGTCTCTGACCGCTTGCTGTTTAATTAGTCGACACCATCTACGTCTCCGTCTCCTTCTCCGTGTCTACATCCGCCTACGCGACCAGCCTAGAGTTGGACCGATAGACGGGCCGAGAAAAATAAATCTCAATAATTCAATTAATGCGTCACTTAATTAAAACTCAATTTTTGCCTTGTTTTTAATTGACATTGCTCCTCGTTTTCTCTTGCTCTCGCCTGTCACACTTGGCTCTGCCTCTGGATGCTGCCGTTGCCGATGCCTGCACTCTCTGTCTTTGATTGATTGCCATTGCCGGATTGCGTATGATTGCCACATTCTCATGATCATTATGATCATCATCATTATCATCATCATCATCACCATCGTCGACGTCGTGGATGCTGCCGTCCCCTGTTCCCGCTGCTGCCTTGGTCCTCGTGACAGCAGCGTCGTGGCACAGATCACCACACAGCCGCAGCTGGTTGTTGCTGATCCGAATGGTAATCATGATTCTGGTTATGCAGCATCAAACGTTGACGATGTCCTTGCAGGAGTGAGCGTTGGCGCCGCCGTTAGCAGCACAACGCCGCCGGACAGTCCGGTGCCCAGCGGCGCCACCTTGCAGCGCTCCAGTGTCAGCAGCCGGCGCAACACAGCCGAGGACTCGCCCAAGCGCGGCGAGCCAGCCCTCAGGTATGTTCATATATACAATTATTCAAATTATACGTAAATCTCAAAAAAAAAAAAATTAAAATCTTAATTTTGTTTTATCTGTTTATTAATTATTTAGTCTAAAAACTCGTTTGCAATTTACATAGATTTCGATGCGTCTGTCGAGAAGTTGTTAAAAAGAAATAATTTAATTAGCAAATTGTAACACTAAGATTTGTATACTTTGAGACGCAAATTTTAACTAATAATATCTTGTCCGAAGTCAAATGTAATATGTGCAAAAATTAAATGATTGCAATGTTTACATACGTAGACACTTTTCTATAAAAGCTGCTTCGCTGCTGCTACAAATCGAAAAATTAATCTATATCGAAAAGTAACTCAAGTCCGATCCCAGTAAAATATTTATACCAATATTAGTGGACAAACATGCAATGCTGTTAGCTCTTAAAGAATTACGAAATGAATTATATATGAAGATATAAATTCTTTACTTATACATAAACAGATATAATTGAAATAGGTAGAACTGAATACCATGGGGCTTCATCTTTCAACTTTCCACAATTTTTATTTATGTTCTTATTATTGTTCTATGTTCAGTTGCCTAAATGACTGGGACAACCCATTTACCGAGTTGAAAGTAAAGCGACAATAATAATTCTCGTCATTGCCAAAAGAACTTTTTTCAATAAGTGCAATGTAGACATTTAGTAAATACACTATATATATCATAGATTAGCTGCTGCGCTTATTCGAGTTATGTGCTGACCAAATGCTTTTGTGTGCTTTGCTCTTGTGTTTTGCAGCAGCAGCGTCGCCATGAAGCCATTGTCCTTTGTGCGCTACGGCGCGCAGGAGGCCATGACTTTGGCACGCAACGACTCAACGCTATCGACCACATCGAAGACGTCCTCGCGCAAGGATAAGAAAAACTCGCAGGCGTCAAGGTGAGTAACAGTCCGACGCCGACAAATTGCCAAATTGCCAAATTGCAGTTATTAGTTTGATTTGGCTAATAGCTCGACTTAGCTTGCCACCACACTCACAATACTCTCTCTCTCTGTCTCTCTTACCAACTCACTGCTGCATGCAACTTTACATGCAATTTATTATGGCTCATTATCCTGACGCTGCTGCCGCTTGCGTGTGGGCTCTGGGGTCGTAGATTCACAATATACAAGGTTCACAAGGCCTCGAAAAAGAAACGCGAAAAATCGTCGGCGAAAAAGGAACGCAAGGCCACCAAAACATTGGCCATCGTTTTGGGTAAGTCGAAGCTAAATGGCGGCCAATTTTGGCCACGATTTTCATTTGAGCATAATATTTGATACCCTAACAACCATCTGCTTTTTTTGTGCATGTGTATGTGTATTTGTATGTGTGCATTCCAAAAGGCGTCTTTCTCTTCTGCTGGCTGCCATTCTTCACGTGCAACATCATGGATGCCATGTGCGCCAAATTCAATGAAGACTGCCGGCCGGGTCTGACGGCCTTTATGCTGACGACTTGGCTGGGCTATATCAACAGCTTTGTCAATCCGGTTATCTATACGATATTCAATCCAGAATTTCGCAAAGCATTCAAAAAGATCATGCACATGGGGTGATTATTAACAACACCTACTACAACAACAACAACAATTGCAATAACAACACCTACTACAACCACAACAACAACAACAACAACAGTTGACAGGAAACAACAAGCAAGGCAATTAGATGAAGCTTTGTTTTCTTTGTACGTACCCGAAAATCGATTACCGACAATCGTCAATCGGGAGTCGATTGATTCGATAACTCAAAACTCGAAACTGTGCCAAAAGCAACCAAATGAAATTGAACTCAAAGCTCGAAACTCAATTAGACTCGTAAGATTGTTAATAGTCTCAACTAAATAAGCATATAGCATAAAATATATATATATATACATATATATACTTGTATATACAAATATATATACAGTATATAGCCGTTATGTATATAGCTCTGTAAATAGCGTCTAAAATTTGATCAAATCTGTTATATGTCTTATATGTATTCTATTGTAGTTATATGTTAAGTACTCTGAGCTGTAGGCTAGGCACAAATTTTAAACATTTAGCTAATGTCTAACATAAACTTGTGGTTAATTTCAGCATATAATATATATATATATATATATATATCGATATATATATATTGTACCGTTACTTGATGTGAGATCATTTTAGCCTCTAAGACGTATTTCGCTTTCACGATCTATAGAAAAACATAAGTTTATATAATTACAATATGTATATATATGTTTACTTTACATATCACGCATTCAGTTTGTGTACATTTTTACCTTGGGGGACTGGACACAGCTTGCATCTACACCCTGTACTGCCCCAACGAGACACTTTGATAATCTGTTAAGCAAATCCAACAATGGCAGAGCATATCCTTACCAGAAGCAACTATAACCACGATGCTAAACTTGAATTAACCCCTCCCCAACCCCACCCCCTTTTGATACTTGTCTTCAATGCTGCGTTTAGCCTAGTTAAGAGATTAAGAAAACAAAAACAAAATATTGAACGACGGCACACATCCTATCGATGGGATGTGTTTCTTCCATATAAGGTATACAGAGTATGTATTAGATAATGCTCTACTGCTAATTAAATTAGTCCCAAGCAGCGGCTCAAAGTCAGCGCCTCACACGAATTCATCGAGCGATAGAGATATAGAGAGATATTTAGGTTAATCGATAAACGGGCTGTTCAAGTAGCCAAGCTGTAATCGATGACCTATCGATTAGATTCACGATATATTAATTGTCATATTAAAGTAAATGAGCGTTACCCAACACTTAGTTAGCAGGTAACTGGCTTATCGTCCTTACGTCCTTACACTTTTTACTCCCTAACTCCCTTAATTCTATCCAATCCCAACTATTAGAAGCAGTCAGTTCGTTCATCCACCGCTGCTTGGCTACTTGGCGACTTGCGATGCTTATCGATAGATCGAGACATCATCATGAAGTACAGAAAGGAACTTGACAAACAGGCGACAAATGCACGCACACACACACGCACACTGAAACAAATGAGCCCCAAACAAACAATAATATAAAAAAATATATTAAAAAACGGCGCTGCCTTTGACTCAACTGCTTGAACCACATCCTTGGGTTGTATTCTCAAAGAATAACAGATTCTACAAAATATATCCATGTGGAAGATATATATACATATAAATAAATAATGTCATTAGTAAAACGTAAGAGCATTAAAAACTAGCTTAAGCCACATGATTAATAACGTTCTAAGTAAGTGCGCGAAAAAATACTTATTCAGTATTTTTTTGTATGGACATGTCTAGACATATACCCATAAGATAAGCACTGGAAGAAAAAATAGTAATAATAATAATCTAAAGCTAATACGTACTAGAAAATGGTACTTAAAAAAAATTTTACCATAAGTTGCATCAGGGTATCTAAAGCGTAGGCGTACAAATTACTAGCGGTAAGTGCAAGCTAGCGCATAAATTTCTTTTACATATAGAAAAAAAAAGTACATATACCAAAACTAGCTAAGGAACTTTAATAGCATGAAAACTTGATTTGAAACCTGGACCGAAATACTCGCCCATTAAAAAACAGATGCCGTCTTAAATTTGCTTATGCTGTAGTGCTTTGTGGAACTGACTTTGGAACGGATCAGGATCTAGAACAAGATCACACGACTACACTAACTATATATTTATACTAGACACAAGCGTCACAGTGCGACTGTGCATTAACCCATCCACGAATACACTACAAATCAGTTGGAAAGAATATAAAAAACAAAAATAAAAAATAAGGAACTAGAATATGCAAGCAAAGAGTCTTAATTTCGAACTGCTTTGAGTACGCCCCTTGCTCACAACCAAAAAAGAAATACCCAAATGGAAACGAATTTAAATCGGCATCATGATACACACAATCACACACATACACACACACACACACACACACACACACACACACACACACACGCACAACACATCTCATACCTCATACGCACATATTTAGATTTTGGTCCCCGATTTCAATAACCGTCCTCTTCGTTGTTTCTATGTGACAAATAATGTAAAATTCAATAAAAAGACAAACATTAAAAGAATATTTAAAGAATGATAAGCTAAAAAAATACATTTTAAGTACTTAGTCCTCGAGTAAGGCATACATACGCAGATAATTAAATATGAACATGTATGTACTCACATATAGGCTAACCGATTCCATCTCATAATTATGGAACCCTATAGGAAAAGCTCAAAACATTTTTATACTTTTCCATAAAGAAATAAGAAAAAGAAACCAAATAGAAAATTCAATGGAAATATAGGTGTTTTTTTTTTTTTAACTTAGAAAAAAATAATCCTAAAATACTCGAGATTCTTAAAGATGCGTTATGTGTGTTAGTCAAATAGATCAAAGCACTCTCAAAATGGCAAGAAAAAGTGTGGCTGTTCGAGTGAAAATCAACAATTTCAAAAAAAAACTCAATAAATAAAAGAGAAGCAGAAACATAAACGGAGCATCCAATCGAATGCTTTAGTTAAGCTCTTCCAAAGAAAACGCTTATTAGTTATAGAAAAGTGGAATGGACGGAAAGTTTCAGTTTTAAACAGGCACACAAACTATATACTTTATAGATGGAATGGATATGCAACATTATAGATTCGAGCTGGTTAATGTTAATGATCATTAAGAGTAAGTACATTATATAAATACTTGCGAGTGTTATTGGGTTCTCAATTTGTTTAAATTTGTTTATATAAATCAATTAACCAATTGTTACATTTGTTTTCTAATTGTTAAAACGTCAGTACATAAGTATTTAAGATCATACTCTTAAGGTCCTTCCACATTATCATGACCATGACTATGACCATGACCATGATTATGATTATAATTGTGTAATATGTAATGCAACCTAAAAGGCAACTGCAATGACAAAGAGGCTAAAGCAAAATAGTGAAAAGTTCTCATATAACAAAAGACCTAAGTACAGTAAGACAACAATAAAAGGCACAACAATTAACATTAAAAATATAAAGGCAAATAAATAGATTGAGAAATAAAAAAAAAAACTGAAACTATTTTAAAGCAATGATAATGTTATTTTTTTTTTTTAGAATTAAATCAAATCTAAATAAATTAAAGTAATAAACAAACGTATATTTATAAGCGTGAATGGGCTGCAAAAGACCCCGAATTAAAATTAAAAGCAAACTATTTCGACTTTATGCAAGCATAATTACCATAGCATTAACTATAGCAAAGAGACGTAAAGAAAGAAAGACGATGAATGGCACGGAGAAAATATAAAAAATATACATCAAATAAAAATAAAAATGAAAATATTTCAAACCAAAAAACATGTTGTTTTATTTAGGTTGAACCTACTTCACAGCTTACAGCTTTCAGAAATTGAAATTGCACATCTCTTCTTTGACAAAGTCAAATCGAGTCTGTGTTAAAGGTGGGTCAACTACTGTACTCTTAGTTCTTGCCCACCCCAGATTGTCATGAAAAGGTTTCTCAGGCATATTCGGTGTCGATTGGCAGAACATGACTGAATTTTTGGCATTTACCCCGAGCAGTTGTATGTGCCACACACGCACGTACACACACATTGTACATATATATCAACATTATATAGCATTTCTATGAGCTGATAATAAAATTCCAATAAGCATGAAACGAAATAAAAATACTTACACAAGACAAACAAGCACAACAATGGCAATCGAACTTGGCGGAAATAGGCAAAGGCTGAGCAAAGCTTTAAGCAACTGGCAAAATGACGAAGGCCAAGCCCAAATGGCTGCTCAAAATCAATTCAAGTCCCCTCCCCCCATTGAGCCCATGCGGCAAAGACGGAAAACCCGAAACCAAAACGTAACTAAAAGCGTCTAAATAGATAAATGCATAGTAGTTTTTGTTGTTGTTGTTGCCACGCAATGGTCCACCTTCTTCGCCGCCCCAAACGTCGTCAGCTTCTAATGGATACTTAGCAGCCGAATTCAAATGGCCGCGTCTGAGTATGTGTGCGTGTATTTCGGATATCTACGTACATGTATGTAAGTATCTATGATGTGCTAGCGTGCGCTGCAAGATAAAGAGCAAACACTTTGACTACAGCTAAAATGATTGAATTAAAGTAAATTAAATTAAATTAAACGTATTTTTAGATGGTCAATTCAACTCGCATCAATCCCTGTCTTATGCTGGGAAATAATTGAACAAGCCTGACAATATATGCTTACCTATGGCTAACCATTTCTTTTTGCCAGTGTAGAGTGTCTGTCAGTCCACCATTTTATGGTGTGCTTCACGACTGCCCGGACCCGTCGCGTCGCTCAACTTGATGCTATACTGCTGCCCAGCCATTGCTCATAAATACAAATGCAAAAAGGGCAACCGAGCAGTCGACCCTAGAGCCAAGAAGTCCAATGGACAACGCCAAGGAACAGACGCTGCGGCCACCCCAAGCCCCGGGCGGCACTTACTCATAAGCATTGAATTCCAAGAAGTTGCCCAGTCGCAGGCAGTCTGCTGTGCGGGGGGGCCGTGTCCATAACTAATTCTCACTAAATGATGTACTAAAGTGTTCCAGTAACCGTCACCCTAGACTCGAACCTCACGACACACACACACACATGCATGTCTGGGGGTTCGCTATGTCTTGCGCCTGGAGCGATATCTTATCGCTACATTCACTGGGTGGCGATAATTGACAGACCATTAACGTTTAGATTCTAAAAGCTAAAGTAGCAAATGCCATACACACTCTAGACCCCCCCCCCCCCTCATCCCTGACCAAGCGTTAGTTTCCAGCAAATATGCATGGCAAGTATATAAAGGCACTCCATCCAGCGGCCTAGTTCTACAGCCACGCGCACACACACACACACACACACACACACTCGCAGGCTAGCAGGCTGCACTGCAGCCATAACCCACTTCGACTCCCTCCCACATTGCCAGACATCGAATCGCCCCCATTCTATGGAGTTGTCTGAAAGTCTTTTTCAATATACTTTGGCTGCCTTTGGTCGTTTCAGCTATCGTTTTGCCTGCTGTTCTACATCTTCTGGTGATTTGGGATTTTGCAATTGATTTAGAAAAGCCATTGAAATGCACCCACCCA